GTAGTTCACCCTTTGCTTTTCTCTTTCTGCCTTTAGAATCATTTCTTTATCCTTGACTCTGGCCATCTTGATTATGATATGTCTTGGTGTGGGTTAATATATTTTTTAATTGAAGTATACTTGATTTACACTGCTGTGTTAGTTTCAGATATACAGCAAAGTGATTCAGTTATATATCTATATTTTTCAGCTTCTTTTCCATTATAGGTTATTACAAGATACTGAATATCATTCCCTGTACTATATAGTAGGTCTTTGTTGTTTATTTTGTATATAGTAGTATGTATCTTTTAATCTCAAACTCCTAATTTATTGCTTTCCACCCTTTCCCCTTTGACAGCCATAGTTTGTTTTCTGTGTCTGTGAGTCTATTTCTGGTTTGTAAGTAAGTTCATTTGTTTTGTTTTAGATTCCACATATAAGTGATATCATATATTATTTCTCTTTTTCTGTCTTACTTCACTTAGTATGATGATCTCCAGGTCCATCCATGTTACTGCAAATAGCATTATTTCACACCTTTTTATGGCTGAGTAATATTCCCTTATATATATATATATATGTATATATATATACACATTTCACATCTTCTTTATCCAGTCATCTGTTAATGGACGTTTAGGTTGCCTCCACGTCTTGGTTATTGTAAACAGTGTTGCTGTGAACATCAGGATCTGTGTATCCTTGGCACTCTTGATATTTGGAGCTGGATAATTCTTTGCTGTGCAGACTGTCCATTGTCAGATGTACGGCAGTATCCTGACCCCTACCCACTAGATGACAGTAGCACACTTCAGTTGTGCCAACTAAAAATGTCTTCAGAACTTTCTTGCCAAATATCCCCTGGGGGTTAAGGGGTAGAAAAAGTTCACCCCTGGTTGAGAAATGTTGTGGGAAGAGACCAGAATATGTTTCACTGGAGGTCCCTCTGGAGGCAGGAGATGAACCCAGTGACCTCCTCCCACCTGTGTTCCAGCTCTAACATCTCAAAGTTAATCTAAAGTAAATGAATTTCATTGTTCATTCATTTTAGTTCCAAGCTGATTTCCAACTGAAAAATATTTGCAATTTACAGTGAGTAACAAACAATTTTTAAACTTTCTCATAACTTATGAGAACAAGAAAATGTCCTAAATTTCATTCCTACAAGATGACTATTTGGCTTTAATAAGATAATGTTTAACAATCTGCCTAAAAGTGTGTTGTTAAGCAATAGATACCAGTATCCGATTACCTTTGATGTGACTATAATATAACTGTTTTACCCATTTTCCCTGGATACATTCACCCTGATACTCAACTTTCCCATCTCTTCCAGCTCTATCTGGGTCCCACTAAACCTAAAAAGTTATGTTCAGATGAAAACCATTCTCTCAACAGAGATGCTAGGTCTTTGCTGACCAGGGCCTTAGTCATGATTCTGTACTGCTTCCCAGTCAGCTCCCAAAAGAGGAGGCTGATAATTAGCTTCAGATTTAGACAGACCTGATTTCTAATGACGCCTCCGTCATTCTCAAGTCGTGTGCCCCTCAGCAAGACACTGAACCTTCCAGTGTCTGGTCTGTGTGAGGGGTGGTGCTTAGTGGGCTAAGGCCAAGGCCTTCCCTGTGTGAGAATGTTCGGAAGGTTATTCAGTTTTAGTGTCCCTGACCGCCTGGCTTGGTGTCTGTCTAGATTCTAAAGGAGCACCTGGAGAGGCTTCTAAATGTGGGACGTTATGAAGATAACACAGCATTGAGAAGAACTGAGCCCCCACAGTAAGTGAGGCTGGATGTTAACTCATAAACTTGAACTTAGGTACTAACGTACATCACACTCAGACTTAACTCCGGAAATTCTGATGGGAGCTTTGCGATTCTGCTTCACGTAACTCTTCTGGAAACCCCTAGCCAGAGGGCTGGAAGAACAAGAACTTGTCTGTTTTGGATCCTCCATATTGATCCTAGGTTCTGCTCTCTGTCTTTGATGTGACTTTATTCTTTTCTTTTTACTGCTTGAAAAAAATCTTAAAGTTTTACTCATGGCGTGAAACCCATTTTTTCCCCTAAGAACTGTCTTTATTGATTGATAGCCATAGAGATTTGCTTCCTTCAAACAGCTGTACACAAGACCACTGTTCCCTTTTCTGGATTAACCTCAGAATGGCCTCTTTTGATTTACTAGTTCTCCAATTTTCTCTCAAATCTGACAACTTTGCTCTATAGCTGGGTTTCTCTCTCTTTCTCTTTCCCTCCCTTTCTATCCCATTTTTCTGTCTCTTTTTAATTTGGTAAACAATTTTAAGATACAGAAAACATATAAAAGTCATCCATGAACTCAGGACTCAAAATCAATCTGTGTAAATCTTATATCGTATTTGCTTTTTTTTTAATAAAAGAAAAAATATCACTGAGTAACATGCAAACTTAAATATATATCTTTCTAACAAACTGGAAAATTAATATATTATAGTAGAGAAAGGAAAATAATTTCCCTCTCAAATTCCTTCTCTCGTCCTCTCTTCTGATTGTCTTGTAATTACATCATACTCTGACGTTAACTGCCCCAAATACTACTGATATTTGTGGTTGATGAGATTTCGACATGTTGCCATATTTTTATGATCATCTTGTCATCTTTTCTTGTATTACTTCTTGTTCGATCCCAGTCTTGCCTTCTGAGTTTATTTTTCTTCTTGCTTTAAGTTCGTGGTTTAGTATTTCTTTCAGAGACAATCTGTGAGTAGTGAACTTGGTCTTCATTTCAGCAGTTCCTCTTTAAGCATCCAATTCCTTCATGTGGGTGAGGTCAGCTCACACACTTGACCCCCAGCAGGGTCTGGGCACATTTTCCGTAGAATTCTTTTGTTAGCCCCAAATTTAAAAGAGTGCTCTCTGAAGACCAGTGACGACCAACCGTCCCTGGTCATCACTGTTTCCCTCAGTATCACCTTAAGGATTTACAGCCTGGTTGGAGTCAGACCTCTTTTGATTCCAGTAACATTTTACACAACATGCTTAAAATGGAATAAAGTCATATTACATGACAGAAGGAGTCCTACTAAGTGGAGACGTAGCTCGACAAGATCCCCAGACCTCTCTGGTGTCCCTGACCCCGAAGGGCTGGAACAGAACATTCTGCCTCCCGGGGAGTCTCGGCCGCCCTCCTCACTGTCTCCTGTTACTGCTTTGTTTCTAGACTACTCCCTGTCCCAGGGGAGGCTGATCATTTGGGTTAATTTGACTCTTTCTTCTGCTGTCCTTGGAAAGCCTCTTCCCTCTGCTAACGGTTTCAGGGATCAATTGTTCTTTGGCAGAGAAAGAGACTCAATGACAATGAAGAGTTTCCATTTCATCTCCCTGCAGCTGCTGACCCGAGAAGCAAGCCAGACCGAGCACCTCCTCACAGGATAGGAAGCAGCCTGAGCCCTGGGGGTTAAGTGGATTAACTCCCTCCATCACCTGAGCAAAAGAAGACAGAGACCAGGGTGCCCTCTTCCGAGCAGACCCACCTGATGGAAGCAGGCAAACTCTTCCCTCTCACGTACAGATATTATGCAGCTCCATTCTCTGTCCGGATTCAAGTTTGGAGAAGTTAACCCATTTCCTGGTGGATCAGTCTGTACACTTCCGGGGACGAGCTGATGACGTACAGAAGAAAATATACCTTTGGGTTAAAAAGACAGTAAAGTTAAAAGAAAGAGAATACAAGCTCTTTATTGATTTTCTTGCCAGTATGTTTCTCCTATTTAAGCAGAAATCGGAGAGTTTTGCCACATCTCTTCTTTTCTAGGTATTTTGTTGATTGTTCTTTCCTTCAAATAGTAACTTCAACACCAGCTGAATTAAAACCAAATCTGTTTTCGTAGGAACACGAGTATATGTATGTATATGCATGACTGGGACATTATGCTGTATGCCAGAAACTGACACAGTGTAACTGACTATACTTCAATTAAGAAAAAAAAAATCTGATTTACATACGAGGTGACCAAAAAGAGTTAAATCTGAATGTCTCCCATGTGAAGGGAGAGTCACCTCCCTTCTTGCCTGGGTCCTAAGTCCTTCCTCTGCCCGTCTTCCTCATCTCACTGTGTCTTTCCCAGAATGTTCTGGATGAAGGGAATAGGAGAGTATGCAACTCAGTGTGCTCCCAACCACGTGCTGAGATGCCTTCTTCCCCTGAGGCAAAGGTGCTTAAGACAAAACCTGAAACTGTAAAGAAAGGGAAATCCTAACATAAATATCACTTCTCAGCTATGATTCATTCTCCTTTCTTTCCTTCTTTCTCATAAACACATGCATATTCACTTAAAGCAGCCTTAGGTTCCAGAAGTGAAGACATTCTTAAGAAAGGAAAGTTTGCAAACTGAACATCCCATGACCTCTGCCCTGATTACTGTGTAACTGCTGGCAGGTCATTGTCTTTAAACAAGAGAATGAGCATCTCAGTGATTAATGAAGGTTTTCTTGACTGGCAGGGGGCCTTACCCAGATGGTAACAGAATTTTCCACCAACGTCTTAGTTTTAGAATGAAAATAGTAGAGAAAGGAAAAAAATATGCCAGTGCTTACAGATTTGTTTCAAGCTCGTTGCTTTTGGACACGCTAAGGGTTTGTGTAATTTTGGTGATTACCATTATTCACTTGACTGTTTTCCAATTACTAAATCAAAATTTCCTTTTGAGTTTGAATTTGACCTCTCTGATATTCACAAATGGGTCACCCAATCGAAATCATATTTTTCAAAGTGCCGTAAGTAAGATTTTCAGAGACCACTTTGTTGAGTACCAGTCTCTCTCTGCTAAATTACAAACTACCCCCACCCCTGGAAATACCTTCGATCTGCAATCTGTTCTCTTTTATGGCCCCCAGCATGGCAAAGTTTGCCAAAACGGCCACTACAACTTTGGTTTCTCATCTTATTGCAAAGAAGACACCAAATTACACGGCCCGCTAAGAGGAAGAAGTGAGTTGCCTTCACAGCTTTGTGGCAATAATGAGCCCTCCTGAGAATGTGCTTACCTCCCAGCTGATGATCAGAGGTGGCAAAGCTGGTCTTTTCCACCATCTCTCTTTCTCTTTCAGTCACTCAACGCCAATCTACCACACCCACCCAACCCCTAGACACATTTTCCCGCTTTTCATTTTCCCAGAGAAAACACGGCTTCTTTGGAAATCAACCAGTCCTCTTTCACCTTTAAGAGAAATTTGCTTATTGTGATGCATGCCACTAGCTGTACACCCATATCTCTTTTCCCATTTTTCCCGAGCGCAGACCCTGACTGCATCTCCCAGATTCCCTTGTGTTCCCTGTGAGCATGTGACTGAGCTCTAGCCAATGAAATCACGAGGGCTGCTTCCTCTCAGTTTTGCTCCTCCATGTCTTCTTGTCTTTAAGGCTGACTGGGGTTGGGATCCCCTCAGGGTAACTTTGCAAGCACCAACTTGACAGCTGCAGACCTGCTCTCATCCTGGAGTCCTCGAATGACCCCATGGAGCAGAGACCCCCTTCCCTCACTATTCACAGACTTGAAACCATCCCAGGACATTAAGTGATTGAGAGATAAACTGCTGCTGTGTTGAGTGCTTCATATGTGGGCTTTGTTGTTATCTCAGCCTAGTCTACACACACAAAAATGATACTTCAGTGCTCCCTTCAGATGGATTTGCATTTTATAATTGGGTCATCTGATAGCTTTCAAGATACAATAGAACAGGGTGTCCAAAGCGGCACTCTGATGATTGGTGGAAGGGAGGTTCTGGGATTGCGTGTTTGTGCCCACAAAGAACAGCCACAAATAAAATACCAGCCATAGAGAGACAGCACATCTATTAACCAGTTTATAGCAACCTTTAACCTCCCTTCATAGGGTGAATCAACTGAAAATTAGGGGAGCTGGATAATTTTCTGTCTGTGCTGGCTTCAGATGTGCCTTGATGTAGAAATAAACTTCCAGCATTTCATAGGTCTTGCCTGGTGAGGGACCTTGTTTGAGATATTACTGTCTGATTCCCTTTCAAAGGGGAAGATGTCTGGGAACCTGGGCTCCCAGGCAGGACTGTGTACCCCGGAAGCCCGAGGAGAGGAGTGAACACCTGCACTGTGATCAGGAGCAGTGTCCTTCGGGGTTTCTTGTCAGATTGCAGCTACAGTGTCCGGTACTGAATCATTATATTCAAATGGGGACAGAGAAATGGGACCCCCACACACATAAGCAAATGAGCAAGGATGTGAGAGGAGCTGGTTTGTGAGGAAGCCTGGAGAGCCAGGTGATCCAGGCAGAGCCGGTGGGAAGGTGACCCAGGGCAGGTGAGGCTCCTGATGATGCTGAACCAGGTCCTGGGCAACTCATGCAGAAGTCAAGTCTGGTTTATGCTTCATCATGAACAGACAATTATTTAAAGTGATAAATTTACCTGAGGAACTTCATTGAACTAAAAGATTGTATTTTGTTATTGCTAGATCAAACTCGGGCAAATGACCTCTATGCTTCCGTCTTCCTTCCTTCCTTCTTTTCTTTATTCCTTCTTCCTCTCTTCTTCATTAAGCACAATCTACATAATAGACATGACATGCAAAGCACTGTCATTAAATGAATAAATAAGATTCACTCTCTGTCCCCAGGAGGTTCACAGTCTCATGGAGAAGAGTGACATGAAAATAGACAATAACACAGATGGTCAGTTGTAAGGCACAAGTGACAGGAAGCAAAGAGGAAAGACATATAAATCTGCCCTCAGGCTGCTCTTTCTGGATCCTTGACACATGTCACTGCACTTCAGACATCAGCCTCCTTGCTGTGGGTGATCTGTAACTCTGACATGGACCAGAAACAGTAGAATCTTGAAATGAATCAGACCTTTATGGAAACCTCAACTTTCAGAAATCTTTAAAGAATCCAGTGTCTGAAGTGTTTTCCCCTGGAAACCCTCCTTAGCACCCCCCTTCCCTTGGAAGAGGACTGCCCTCCCACTCAGAGTGGTGTCCTATTTGACTTTGGTAACACGGAGCCAAGGTCAGTCTGGTGTTTCTCAATTGACAAATTCTTATCTGTCAAGAGATGCTAAAGGCACCACTCACGATCAGATGTACCCCAAGGCCATCAACTTTTAAAAACCGGCCGTTGTTTTATTTCTTGCATTTGTTTGTTTGAGGAAAAAGTTATTGCGCTCTCTCTAACCACCCGCCCTACAAAAAAAAAAAAAAAAGAAGAAGAAGAAGAAGAAGAAAGCGTTTAAATTAATAGATTTCACAGAATAGTCCTCTTCCTTCAGTTGAGGGAGGGCAGGCGCTCCACATTATGGTACATAAAGTTGACTTGGTCAAAAGAACAAATAAACTAGAAACACAGCTAGCTGCTTTGACCTCACACATCCCTTCAAACCTTCTTTGCAAATGGTCTGTGAGGGTCTTAATCTATTGTAATAGTTCTTTGTAAATTATAAAACAATTTTAAAGATATACTATCATATTTAATTCTCACCATAACTCGTGAGGAGGGTAAAATTATTTGCATTTTATGGATGATAACTGTGGGGTTCAGAGGAGGTTAAAAACTGCCCAAGGGTACATAGCCAGAAGATAGATAAGACTCGATGTGGGTTAGTATGAATCCAAGTTCCATAGATCTTCTACAAATGCAGTGTCATATAGCTATACCCCTTTTTCTCCCAGATTAAGACAGCCAGGGCCATCTAGAGAAGCAGTGTGGGACAGGGGAGGGGACAAATGCATTTGGGGGAGACCTGAAACTCAGCCTACCTCTATGTTCTGTCACATGTAGACTTTGGGACTGAATTATCCAAAACAGACACAGCGAGATTAGAATCGCAATGCACAGAGAAGTGCATACATACAATTAGTCCCAGTGCCACCACAAAGGAGGAAACTCAACTATTAGCCATCAGGAAACACAGAAAGGACAGCTCTGAAAAGACCAGCCTTGACTGCTAAAAATGTGGTGGGGCCCTTAGGAGGGACCGGTCTCCCAAAGATCCTAGCACGCCCCTCCTGCATGCGCTAGTGAACCCTATACGAGAATTCTGGTTTTGTGACTGCTTAGAATATAGAATTCATTGTTCATGGAAGCCCTCACACCTCCACCCTTCAGGTCTCTGTGCAGTATAGCAACTTAAAATTAAAAGAAAAAGCATTAAAACCCCAGCAGATTATTTTAATTTGGGTTTTCTCAACCTCAGGCCTACTGGCATTTGGGGAGTAGATAATTCTTTGCTGTGGAGGCTGTCGTGTGTGGTGTAGGATGATTAATATCCTTGGCTTCTACCCACCAGATTCCAGTTGCACCCCCAGTTGTGACAACCAAAAATGTCTCCAGACATTACCAAATGTCCCCCTGGGTACAAAATCACCCCTTGTTGAGAACCATTGTTTTAATGATTCTCAAGAAAGGACTCTTCTTTGTTTGTTTTTTTAATGGTCTGGAAGACATTAAGAATATCACATGCTTTAGCCGTTGTTCAGGACACAGATTTGGGTTTCTTTGTAGGTTTCATGCAATCCCGCTCCTCTGTTATGATAATCAATCAATAGTCAAATTCTTTCATTGTTAGAGGATATCAAGATTGTTTTGATTTGCAGATCTTGAGAAAATATGCTATGGCCATAGACTATGGAGATATATGAGTGTGAGTCCCGAGATTATAATTTTTTTAAATCATATGATCTTGAAGTTCATCCCATGGAATATGCATCACCTTATCCGACACTTTGAAGAGTAGTTGTAAGATGGGAAGTCAGAAAGAGCTGCATTCAAGCCCCATCTGTCACCGACCAACAGGGTGAGTTTACAGGAATTTCATTACCCCTCGGTTCTCAGTTTCCTCACCTGCAGAATAGTGTTACCTACTCATCAGGGCTGATGTCAGGGTAAAACGAGGGCGTGCGTTTGGAAAGAACTTTGTAAATAATGCTTGCAAGAGTTAGTTTCCTTTCCTGTTTGAATTTCCACTCCCTCCTCTCTCTACCCTAAATTAAATAATTTTGATCTTTAGACCCCTCTAAAAAGAAACCATTGACTACAACTAAAGGATGGGATAAATGGAAAATCATAACTCACTAGTTAAAAAATAATTAGGGAGAACTGACAGCCTGTTAATCAATTTCCAGACAAAGGACATGGGCTGTGGAGTCAGCTAGATCTGGTTTAAATCTTGTTGCATCACTTTACGAACTGGTTAGCCTTGCGCAAGCGGCTAAGCTTTTCCGAGCTCATTTCATTCTTTGATAACGTCCACAGAATATTTACTTCCCTTCATTGCTGTGAGAAGCAAATGATGATATATATGATAATTCTTTGTAAACTGTAAATCAGTGTACAAATGTTGGCCAGAAATACTACTTTTTGTGAAAATGAAATAAATTGCATCTCTGGCCCCAGAGAATCACATCAACCAGTTCAGTTGAACGTGAGCTGGGAAGCACAATTGTAGATGCTGTGTAATATTCATTCTCTCCCTCTGCTTTGCAAACAAATGCCTGACTATTTAGCGTAGCAGTGGACACAGCTGAAGGGTTAGGCTTCTCAGTCTACTCTGG